GCTTTGTGGAATGTTCTGTAAACAGAAGCACAAAACACTGAGCTTGAATACTGCTTTTACTGGGCTGGAGCCAACGTCCAAAAGTTGTTGCAGGGAGACCTGAAAAGGTCTCCAGGGCGGAAGAGATTTAATTTGCTATAATCCGATCAGTTCTAAAAGCTCTGCAGATTTACCTTCAGCAAGAAAAGTGGGGCAGTGCGGCATGTGGCTTCCCTCAACCTGCAGACTCCCAGCTCACGGGCTTTATGCAAGAGCCTTTGAAAGATTAACTTCCCTAGACGAGGACTGCACGGCCGAGCTTAAGAGACTTTCACTTCGATACACACCAAGGCTTGGGAAGAGTTTTATCTCAAGCCTGGAATTAACTCCTGGGTGTCAGTCAGCAAGTTTTACAGAGTGTCCACCAGGAAGAAAAAATGAGAATATGGGAAAGCATCACTTAAGCACCTGCCAACATTTACAATTCATTCAGCAAGACTGAATTTAATGCTTTAATATCACGCTGCTTTAGTTATTTCAAACACACTCAGAAGAAACACCTACCCATAGTGTCATTCTTAATTATCAGAAAGCAGGCTTTATATGGTTCTTCTGTTTTATATTTTTTTTAAAAACCAACAAAAGACATTTCCAGGTGCCCCTGTCGTCTGAAGTGGGCCACAATGATCTCTGCATGATTTCAGCCTTGGTGACCCACCTTGTCCTTGCAGGGCCTCTGGCAGTTCTGGGCAGCGCACACCGCGTTCTCGTCATCGGACTCTTCCGCTCCTGACCAGTCATACTTGGAAGGGATATCCAGGACTTTCTTCTCCCTCTTCTTCTCCGTGCACTCTTTCATCAGCTCCACCTTGGCCGCAGCTGCCTTCTCCCGCTTCTTCTTCCGCTCCTCCTCTTTTGCCAGCTTCTTTGCCAGTTTGTTCAGCTCTTTCGTCTTGTCCATAGTCAGCTTTAGTTTCTTCTTCTTGGGCTTCTCCAGCTTCTTCAGCTCTTTAGACTTCTGCTTCATTTCACCAAAGAACTGCTCCGCCTTCTCAAGCTTGCGCTTCCGCTTCCTCTCAGAAGAGTCTTTCCCCCTCATTTTTAATGGCTTCTCGTCCATGCTGTCGTCCTTCAAATGGTTTGACAAAAAGAAAAGGTTTTAGTACAACGGCACTCTAAATTTATCTCGTGGCATATCAGAAATAGGAAGTGGCTTCAGCTTGGGAGCACATTTCCAGGGAAAAGAGCAAGAGTCCAGTTGCACCTTTAAAGGCTAACTAAATTTGTGGCACGGTATGAGCTTCCGTGAGTCACTGCTCACTTCTTCAGACACAGACATATTTCCAGGGGGTGTATCTTATGCTTTAGAGTACCCACACACTGCTGCACCGCATTGTGCAAGAATGACCAGGGCTGAAGCAGACTGCCACTCTTTCCTCCTCTCCCTCCCCCCTGACTGCACAGCAAACTACTGCACAGCAAACTATGTCACACCTCTCCAAGCACGACGTTCATTATGCACTCTAGTGAACGCTACAGAGGACAGAATCCTGGAGAGATGGATGCTACTTCCCTGATCACTTTTCTTGTGGAAATGCCACACTAGCAGAGGGAGCCTGGATGCTGACTCAATGGGAAGAGCAGAGTTAGAACCATGGTCTGTGGCGGTTTCTGCTCAGAGACACCAACTTCAAACACAGGCGATTCATTAAGAGCAAGGCAAACCAGGGTTGCGGCTCACAATGCAGGCTTATTAACAAGCTGAAATTCAAGCCTGTGGTGCCAAGCTCTGTTTCAGAGCCAAATGGGTCAAAGGTAAACTGTTTCTATGGAGGCTGGTTTGCATTTGCAATGAAAGCAGTGCATAAAGCGAAAAATTACTAGCTTTCTTGGAGGGCAAGTCTGAAGGTGACGGGCCAGCACCTGTCTACTCCACCACCCCCAGCAAGCCCCACAGTCTCAATCAAGACTTCCTTCATACAATTCTCCTGTCTCAGGGTTAGCAACCGGGGGGGGGGGCGGTCAACACTATTCCGGGAGTTAGGTTTAGCCCTAAAGTTTTCTGTCACTAACCCTTTTATACACAACAAGAAAAAAAACTAAGTGCATTTCCTGGCTCAAGTCAGGGTCCCAAATGAAAACGAAATGATCAAGAAAGCTACCACCCTAAAGCTTAAGAAAACAAACAGGATACATACAGGAGAAAACTGAGTTTGTTTAATTATACTAAAAAGGGGGGGGGGTGTGTACCACCAACAGTCAAAGCAACTGGAGGAAAAATTCCTGCTACAGATTCCTATTTTAGGGGGAGGATAAATGATTTCATAAAAGAAGGCTTTAATAAATTGTTATTAAACATTATCTAGAAGAGAAGAAGAGAAGAGACTGGATTTATACCCCGCCCTTCACTACCCGTAGGAGTCTCAGAGCAGCTTACAATCTCCTTTCCCTTCCCCTCCCCACAACAGACACCCTGTGAGGTAGGTGGGGCTGAGAGAGCTCTGAGAGAACTGCTCTTTCAGGAACAGCTCTGACGGAACTGTGGCTTGCCCAAGGTCATCCAGTAGCTGCAAGTGGAGTGGGGAATCAAACCCGGTTCTCCCAGATTAGAGTCCGTGCACTTAACCACTACACCGAACTGGCTCCATTAGTGTGCCAAGAGCTATACAGAACACAGAAGGCAGACCTTACTAAAAAGGCTTACAATATTAAAACTGCAACTGAATCAGTGACCGACCTAAGATGACCACTCATGACACCAACAAACAGGAACAAGGTTTATACAGTACCAGCTGCAGGTGTTTAAAAGAACAAAACACTGGCATTACCAAGAAGTTTCGCTCTGCTTAGACAGTCGACATCCTGAAACTGGCAAGTCCTCCCCTTCCACCAGAGGGGTTGCACTTTTAGATTTTTTAAGTACTACAGCTGAACAAAAGTGCCAAGAATTTTAGCAGCAGTAGCAGACCTCAGACCAAAGCAGGAGTACACAGGATGACCTCTGCCGGCAGAAAGCTCTGCCTCCCAACAGTGGATGGGAAGAAGTGCCCATTTCAGGATGTCCTCATCCTTCTGAGCAGGAACAGTATATGGAGTGTCAAAGAGCCATGGAACGGTATGTCTCCTGTGGCTAGACTGATTCAGGAAAGACCGCGTTAAGGAAGTATCAGAGAGGGAGGCAGCCTGAAAGAGAGGTAGGAGAGGCTGGCAAGGGGCAGCAATGCAAAGCAGTCAGCTGAAATTCCACCTGTTAAGCGTCAATTTAAAACAGGGTAACATAATAAGCATTCTGTTGGGAATGGACATCATTACCTCCATGATGTGAAGAAATCGGTCCTCAGAGGGTGGGTGGGTGGCCTGCAGGATCCGCCAGATGTGCTGGGTCTCATCCAGCGATACCTCCAGGAGGTCTCCTATCATCATGAGATCTTCTAGTTGTGATTTGGCTCCAGGAGACAGTTCAAGCACTGGGGGCTCTAAACTGCGAGGTACTAGGGGGCTCTTACGAGGTTGCTTTCTCGGCGTGCTGGAACCTTTCAGGGAAGTGAAAAGGTATGCAGGGAAAATGAATTGTATGATTTGTCAATACCAGAGCTGGAATTCCAGCATACTTAAAAATAATTTCATATAAACAGAATGTTAATTACCCAAGCATCTCAAAGTTACATGATATTATAGGACCAGACAAGCCTGAGATGTACACAAACCAGCTTTACCTTGAGAGCAGCTTTTGGATGCTGATGAATATGCATGCTCAGCACAGAAGGAGGGGGCTGTCCACATGTGCGTTACAACTTCTTCAGATTTTATGGGAATTTCTTCATCACAAAAAAGGTTGGGCTCCAAGCTGCTGGAGGATTTTACACTGGCATTGTCCTAAAACAGAACACACAGGCTCATAAAGGACTGGAAAATTAAGTCTAAACATCCCTGTCTATGTTAACTTAATATATCCATATACAGAAACTAAGTGGGGGGGGGGGTCCCACCCCCAACATAGCAGCAGACAACCGAAAGGAAAGGTGACTACTTCTCAAAGAATAATGTGGGACAACAATGCATTTTGTGCTTATTTCCACATCAGTTAACTCATGTGCAAAAAACTCTGCAGTAAGACTTTTAAAAATCCTTACAAGATACAAAACAGACCTTGGATCATTTTGATACGTCACATAACTTTTTACTATTATGATTATAATCAGCCACACTAAAATTGGTTGAAATCTCACAAAAGGATTAAAACTGACCAGCATAACTCAAGAGTTCAGAGGTTTTCATTATGCCACTGACCTTTATGTCATAGCCATATGCTTCCCTGATGTCTTCATCCGAATCTGTCTCCTCGTCATCGTAGTCCATGGTTTGTCGTGGAGATGACGACACGCTGCTCATTGCCCGATTAAAGCCAGATTGCTGGAAACTAGTCAAGTGACCCTGGGGAGCAAAAAAACACAACATTTTGAAGGATATATACAAGGAGCCACAACTACCTCCAGTGGGGACCCCAAGGCAATTTACATCTTTCTCTTCTCCCATTTTATCCTCACAACAACCCTGTGAGGTAGGTTAGGCTGAGAGTGTGTGTGACTGGCCCAAGGTCACCCAGCAAACTTCTAAGGCAAAGTGGGGATTCAAACATTAATCTCCTAGATCCTACTCCAATACTTTAACCACTACACCATACTGGCTCTCTGACTCAGAGCCTTAGGCTGGTGAACGTAACGTGGTTTCCCAACCAGTTCTGATCTTATATTAATAAAATAGTTGTCAGGACTACAACAGAGAAACTAAATTTCTAGTCTCTGCATGAAAAGTAGAGGCTGACATCTGAGTACTCCTTTAACCCAAAGCAGCTGCAAACATCAGCACAGCCAGGGTCTTTACTGTCCCAACCAGCACTGAACTTCTGATGATGACAGTGTTCATTGGTAGGCAATCTGAAAAGAGACTGCACCTGCTCACCATGAAAAATGACAGTATAATGCTAAACAAATTTTACAGGTTACTGACTTAATTCGAAACTCGATATAGGTCGTGGCTCACATCCTCTGAGTCCAAGAGAGATCAAAACAAGGCAACATGTATTATCTGAGCCTAATTTCAAGAAGTGGGCCTCTCTGAAACAGCAAGGATAGTACCTATGTAAGGTACACGGAGAGAGAAAATAAAGTCCACTCAATGGAAAGGACAAAACTGTAAAGAAAGAAATTCTGGAGACTTGAGAACACACAGCAACATACAGAGGAATCTCACTAGAAACTCTTCCAGGACGTTTTGGTTTTGGGCTCTTACAGTGTTTTGCCCCCTGCTGGTGAAAGCTGATTATGAGAGTTTGAAAAAAGTACTGTAGCTGCAGTTTGGCCAGTTAGAGGAGACAGAAAATAAGTTTACTCAACTAAGCATACCTAATTCTACTCAAACAGAATCCAAGTCCAACTAAAGATACTGTATTTTGTAAAACCTGTAGCAACTAAAGGAAAAGGCCATCCTACTGTCTTATGACTGCAGGGATTAAGGCGGCACTCAGGATCAAATACTGAACTGTCACCATCAGAGTTCGTTCTGAGTACCTAACTGTGTTTTTCTGCAGACGTATGCCCAGATAGCCATAGCATTAAATGCATACAGATTAACGCATCACTTGTCACACAGAACAGTCATCGTTATGAGCCCCCCACCTGTAGGTCAGGATTGGCTGCAGCCTTCTGCAGCTCTGCACTGATTATTTTCTCTGTTTTCTCGCGTGCTGCTTGTTCCACCATGCGCTGGCTAAGCACAGAAAGCTTGGCCAACGCAGAGGACAGTTCATCGGTAGCCAAAGCTTGCCGCGCTCGGTCCTGCCAACTCATAGCCCTTTCCGTCAGGCACTGCAACGCCTCTCCCTCGGGCAGCCGAACCGGCAGCTTTTGCAAGGAGACCAGCAAAGATAAGATGGTCTCCAGCCTGGGCCTTCGGGAACGCATGCAAAGCGGACACAGGAACTTCACTTCTTTGGCAGGCCAACTGGAGCCCTTCTTTTGGGAGCTGGTTTTGGGGAGTGGCACACAGGTGCTGTGAAACCAGTCTTTGCAGAGTTCGCACTGGAGCATGAACCCGCTTGCTGTTTTGCGGCAGATGCAGAACTTGATTTCCTCAATGCAATCCACCATGGTCATCTTTGCCAGGTTGGCTTCCCTGAGGGCATGCATGGCTTCAATCTCTTTCTGCTCACGATCCTTGAAGACAGCCACCTAGTCAACAGAAAGAAGAGTTGAAAACTCCTCACTAGTGCCCTCCCTCTTCTTTTAATCATGGGACAAGGCCTTCAATTTTAGAACAACATGGGGGTGGGCCATGTCTCTTGGTAGCTCAATCTTATATCTAGACAGAAATATTTCCACCTCTTAATCAGATTCCATTTAAAAACCCATGCATATTGTGAACAAAGTCAGAATTACATTGCGTAGCTGCTCCACCTGAACTAGCTAAAAAATTACCACCACAGTGAACAGGTTTAAAAAGTATTTACTTTTACTAGTAGTAAATACAACACACTCAAAGGCATTCCATATAAGCAAGCAAACCTACCGTACTGCTGTTACAGGTCCTTACCACAGTTGCAGTGTCTCTGGTCTCTTCCAGCCCATCTTCTAGCTCACTTAAGGACTCCAGGTCAAGATCCTTCTCTTTCTCCTTCTCCAGCAGCTCCTTCACTCTTTTCCGCCTGTTCTTACTGCTCCCATAAACGCCAATATCAGTTCTAGGGCTGAGAACCTGCAATCAAGAAGGTACAACTTGGCAATGGAGCAATCCAGAGAGAGGCTGCTTAATGAAAGATACCAACCACTAAAGACCAGAAGATAAAAATGCAGAAGCAGCTCTCAGAACTGCAGACCTAAACATCTACCCTGAGCTACATGTTAATTGTTTCACTCTTTAATGTTATTTTATTAATTATTGCTGGCTGTGTTTTACTGACCTTATAATCCATTTTAAGTTTCCTGTCCTTAGTTTTTCACAATAAAAATCAAGCAAAGGATGGATTCATAGCTGTAGACATTTTTCCTTCTTCCAGCAGAGAAAAGCATCTCTTTTCACTGTCCAAAGTGAGAGGCAAGAGACCAACATGCAGCACTGAAACCAGGTTTCAATATGCCTTATATAGGAGTTCAAGGGATTGGATTACCTAGCCCAATAATGCCCACTCTAACTAGCAGCGGCTCTCCAAAGTCTCAGGTAGGTGTCTTTCCCAACCCAGCTACCTAAAGGCATTTTTTTCTTCAAAGCCAGATATGTCAGAGACCAGAGTTTGAAGCCTGATGCACGTGGAACAGATACTCTACCACTGAGCTATGTCCTCTTTCTACACGCAGGACCAGGCTAGCAGCCTGGAGAGCCATCCAAGATGCAAAGAACAAAGCAGATACTTATGTGGAGAAGTAGGGTACAAATATTTTAAATAAGTGGTGCTGCTAGGTATGAATTGCTCTCCTGCCCTTGATTTAAGCAACTGCAGCAGGGAGATAAGGAGGGATCTAGGGAACTACACCTCCTCGCCAGTGTCAAGACTGAAAATCAATGTCCCAAAAGACAGACATGTTTTTATCTAAGCTCGCTATCTGAACTGGCAACAGTCATGTTTAATAATGGGGAAAGCCCATTAACCCATAGGCTTGTGCAAAGTAGATTCATCAGCCACCACGGGCAAACACAGATGTTACCAGGACTACTTGGATCCTAGGCCTGACCACAGATCTTCACCTTGTCCTACCACCCAAAGCAAGGCAAGACTGTTCAGCTAACCCTTTTCACACAGCTCTGACATTTTGAGAGACAAGCTGTTGTAAAAAGCAGACCTAACCAGGATTTACCACTGGGTCCAGGCAGGCTTTGGTATAAATTAACTCAACATCTGAGTTTCTTTCAGCCAAGGCTGTCCAAGTTTTCCCACAGTATTTATACAGCTTTCCACAGTATTGCAACATGTATTTCCCAAAGAATAGCTAATGCTTCCCTGTCTATCAATCATGGTTAAGATTCAGTGCTATAACTGTATAAGTCTCAAGCATAAGAGAAAGACAGACACATGACCAATTTCCCAAGTTAGGAGTCAATGTCAAGGTTGCTGTTTCTACCAATAGTGGCCCCCCCCTCTTTTATCCTGTAACCTGTGTCATTTGCATTTTCTACTAATTCCTAAAAAAACCATGGTCCTATCGCATTATTCACCAGATGATGACGTTTTTAAAAACAATTCTGTAATCCATCTTGAGTCTCAGCAAGAAATGCAGGTCATAAAGTAAAAAAAGAAATAACCTGTAAGAGAGTATAGCTAGAGTTCTTCTTAAGGAATGTTCTTCCTGTGCGCTCCCTCCAGGCACGTGCTGCTGCTACCTGCGAATCAACCTGCGGCAGTGCATCAAGGCGGACAGGTATCAGGCGGCCTTTAGCAGACAGGTTCTCAAGCTGCTCCAGATATGCATAGTTGCTACCATTCTAGGGAGGTAAAGAACAATTCTTAGCTAAATGATTTCATCCTTAGTCTGAACACTGAGCAATATTTTAATATTCACAAACACAGATCTATGCACATTTCAGTAAATCTCACAATTTACTGTCAAATATACATTTTTCTTTTTTAAAAATGAAGTTCCATAACTCTAAATTCCAGTGAGGCATACCCGATGCGCAAAGAACAAGTGAGCTCTTGACAGAGAATACACAAAACTGATACTCTTTTCTGTTCTGTTACATTTGGCTGACGAAGTGAGACAGAGATGGGGTTGTGCCACGCTAACACAGAAGGACAGCTTGTGTTGGTAAAGATACATTATCATTAAGCTTTTAGTTTATTATTGCGGTCTTGAGACCAATGTACAGAGTAAGCATAAAACAGTCATAATTTACAAAATACAAAAAAATAGAAATATGAATATCATTAAGCAAAGAATCCTGAGTGTTTAAAGACTTCCATATTCATCTATTACCATCCTGCACGAGTATCCACCGTTGTTAGAATCCAAGTCAGTTCAGAAAACTGACCGCCAAGTCCTACAGCTGAACGCACAGGGACACTCATCCGTAACAGAATGCAAGCTTTCCATGCAGAAAATCACCCAGTTAAAAGATTTCATGTAGCAGGCATTAGGGAAGACTTTTTTCTGCCTGTGGCCTTGAAAAGCTGCTGTCACTCTAACTAGACAATACTGAGTTACACAGGCTAATGGTCAGCCTCACTATAAGGCAGCTTCACATGACATATATACACAATGTGCTCAGGCACAGCATTAACTCCAGCCTCACATTATGAAAATAATGAGGTCCAGAGGTCCATCAGTAGAGCAGAGGTCCATCAGTGGCTATTAGCCACAAGGTATAGATAGGAACTCTCTTTCTGGGGCAGGTGATGCTCTGTCTTCTTGGTGCTTGGGGGGGGGGGGTCAACAGTGGGAGGGCTTCTAATGTCCTGGCCCCACTGATGGACCTCCTGATGGCACCTGGTATTTCTGGCCACTGTGTGACACAGAGTGTTGGACTGGATGGGCCTTTGGCCTGATCCAACATTGGCATCTCTTATGTTCTTAAATTCAACTGCCATACCTGGAAGTATGCAAAAAGGCCATTGTGATACATTGCAGGCTGGACCACGATTAATTAGGAAGCCGAATAAAATGTTATGTGGCCGCAAATGGTAAAGCTAGGTTATCCAATCTTATGGCCCTTTCTGGTTGAAAGGACCAACGCTAAAAGGATGCCGTGCCAGCAGCTGACCCTACCTGAATGGCTTCCACCTTGGACGTCCAGTCTCGAGCCCGCTGCAGCGCTTCTCTCAATGCTAACACATTGGGCAAATAAGCTGGGATGTTCTTGGCCTCATTCACAATGTTCTCCAGAGCAGCTATGCTTTGTCGAGGCCTACCAAAGCAGGAGGGGAGGGGAGACAACAAATCTGATGAGCAAACATTTTTGCTTCTTGGTGGCTGTAGCAAAATAAAACCACTTGTCATCCCACCCTTCCCCTCACAGCTGCACCATAAGAAATAGGCAAAGTGAAGAACAACATGCTGAAGGCCATGCAATACATTTCAAGGCCAAGTAGAAATCTGAACATCCCACCCTGCCCTCTCCAAGCTGAGCACTCTAGCCGATACACGACACCAGCACCAGCAACTGAAGTCAAAGCCTCTTAAAGCATGGAACACCCTTTTAGGTTGCTGATTAAATACTTAGTATCACCTTAAGTTTTAGCAGGAAACTAGACCACAACAGCTCGGCTCTCAAGTATAAATGTGTCAGAAAGTGAATGCGTTGATTCCTTTTTAAGGTTGCCATTGCCTAACAGAAGCACCATTTCCTATGCAACAGGTGATTACAGATCCAGTTGGTCAGCCATGTTGGTCTGAAGCAGTAGAACAAATTTAGAGTCCAGTGGCACCTCTAAGACCAACAAAGGTTTATTCAAGGTATGAGCTTTCGCGTGCATGCACACTTTACTGGGAGCGTGTTGTTTAAAGGCCAAGTAACTGACTAAGATGCTGTGATTCACAGGACCTATAACCAGGGCTAAAACCACTAATGGGAATACGCACCTTGCCTGTAGGCAGACCTTGGCTTTCTCTTCCCACCTCTCAGAAACTGTAAGCAGCTCCTGCAGTTCAGCCATGGCCTTCTCCACGGCGTGGTGTGGTGCCAGCCCCACCCCTGAGTCAATCAGTTTCTTCATCACATCTAAGGTGACTCTCTGTGGATCGGAAAGGGTCACCCGCACTTCATCCAGCCAACGAGCCTGCTGCAGCTCTTGCTTGAGCCGAGGCAGTTCAGGAAGTTCCACGTACAGGCCAGAGCCCATGTCAATCAACATCTGCAGCTTCGATGAGTCCGGGATCTCGTCCATCATGGCCTCCTGAGCACGTTCATGGAACTCTTCAACATCATCCAGCAAGTTCTACAGGAAGATTTAGAACAAGATGATCACTCAGTGATAAGAGCTGCCAGAAACTCGAATGGGATTCTTGACTGTTTTTAGCTCAGAGGTGACCACGTTCAAAGCTACTCAGACACCAAGCAATGTGCTGAGCACCACCTGCAGTCAAACAAAAAGCCCCACAGACAAACAGGTTAGCATCAGGCAGGCCAGTTGGCCAAGGGAGGCATGTGCTCGACTTTCACTCATCAACACTGACTGGATGAGCAAACAGAGTGCTACCCACTCCAGCCTGCAGGGTAAAGAATGCAAACTCACTGTTTGCGATGACAGCAATGAAGTGTGCGGTGATGGTGAAAGGTGTTCTGTGTTATGGATTACTAGGAAAAGAATTGAAAACGGAGGAATTGAGAGCCAGCGTAGTTAGAATACTGGATTAAGATCTGGGAGACCTGGATTCAAACCCCCTCTCTCTGGTATGAAGCTTACTGGGTGACCTTGGGCCATGTGTGGAGATCTGTTCTCAGGAGTGTCCATGAAAACTTCACTCCCTCCCTATGTCTTCTTCCCTGTTTGTTTCTTCCCCACAACTTTCCTTCTCCCTCCCCACTTCTCCTTTCCTGTTTGTTTCTTCCTCAAAACTTTCCTTCTAACATTTAAAATCACAGAATTGTACAAACACTATGAAAAAGAATGAAAACAACAGGCATTATACAGGTTTATAACATTACGCTGGGTAAGTAGAGCAGATAAAGATCCCCCCCCTTCATAAGAACATAAGAGAAGCCATGTTAGATCAGGCCAGTGGCCCATCCAGTCCAACACTCTGTGTCACACAGTGGCCAAAACCCAGGTGCCATCAAGAGGTCCAGCAGTGGAGGGTCCTATGAACCTAGCCCCCAGGGCTCAGCCAATGAAACTGGCTGGCTGCAAGCTTAAGACATACAAAATGGACTTCACACAAGATGCAGCTTATGGAATTCAGTGCTACAGGATAGGATAGTGGGCACCAACTTATACGGTTTCAAGGAGGAATTAACAGCAACAGTGATATGGCTCATTGTGGTTGCAAGACCCAAGCGCTAAATGGAACATCCCATTTAGAGACTGTAGGCCTGCTGACTATCTGTTGATGGGGGGAAAGAAGAGAAAGAGAAGAGTAGTTGTAAACAGATGTGGGCTTCCCAGAAATATCTGGCTTGCCACTGCAAGGAAGAGGATGCTGGACTAGCTGCACTGTCTGGTCTTGTTCACCAGGGTTGCTGTTATGTCAACGGTAGTGCTTCCACAGTCATCAATTCCACTTGGCTATATCAGAGGCAGCAGTGAGACAGCAAAGACCTCTCTGTGGGCCTAAACCGAACCAAGTGCCTTTTCCTTTTCCCAGAAATGTCTCCTGCAATGGCCATTATTGTTGTAACTATTAGGTGTTATTTAAGAGAAGATACGGGAGTGCACGCTTCTCTCTTTTGTTCCTGCCATTTTTTTTTCTTCTGTGGCACATTTGTGTTGCAAGCAATCCACAGGCCACCTTTAATGCAACAGCAGAAAATCAATGCAACATTATATAAGTAAAATAAATATTAGTGCTAGAAAGAACCAGAGCAGCTCTGCCTTTCACTAGCTTTTTGCTAGCCAGGGATACTACGGTACCCAATTTACCCTTGTTTCCCTTTGATCATTTTGTTCTTCAGTCCAGGAGAACAGCAAGCAATGCCAGATGAACAATTTGCCCTCATTTCATTCTGGCTACAATTCAAGGTATCCCAAAAGATACTTTTAAAATATTCAGGGTACGCTCATCAAGAATTCCTGAACTAAACAGAATTGTGTGTATTAAGCACATTCACCAGGGTGCACCAGATTCTATACTTATGGCCTCTCCCTGAAATCATTACTGAGCCTCAAGTATATTTATTGAGAAACTAATAGTTCTTAAATTAAAAGAAGTCATGCAGGTCCTTTTCCAAGTACACACCTTTACTTGTCGAGCCTGAGTGATGACACAGGGAAGGCTAAACAGCTGTTGGACAAATGCTTTCAGTTCCTCCACAGTCAGTTTGGTCCGTGTCCTCCCGCTATCCGGGCTCAGCTTACTACATGGAGAAAAGGGACATTTTGTGCACAGTGCTGGAAGCCACAGACAGCCCCTCCCCCCCCCCCACATCAATGACCAACTTTTGGCAAACTATTCCACAGAAGATATTACAATGCCTCTGCACAACAGTGGCTGCAATTTTCTCTGAACCCTGTTTCCAACACGTATATTATGCTATAATTCACATACACACATTTATTGTATCCTATCTCCATTCTACTTCACTGCTGTGCATTTTCTTCTAACACTCACTGTAAACCAGACTTACATACCCCGGTAAGACTTCTCTCAACATTCATCCCCCCACCCCCCCTTCAGATGTACAGTGGCTCACAGACACGAAAAAAGGAAAACACACACAGAATGTAACTTGCACTCCAACTGCAAAAAGCAAGTCTTAGTATATTGTATGCATTCAGCTTTGTGTTTTAAAGTTATTTTTCATGCACAAGATCTATTTCCATCCTTCCTGCCCATACCTATGCTTTTGTTTTTTGCTCAGGAGCAGCTGGGCCACCGAAGCACAAGTCTCTGCCTCTTTCACAGCATCTCTTAGCTTACGGAAGAGATCGTTCTCTGGATACTTCCTGTCTTCAGCATCCTCCAACATCACTCTCAGCTCAATCACGTCTGCAACAAATTGGCTAAGAGGTCATTTGCATGAACACACAAGCATTACAAACAACTTCCCCTGTGATCCCAAGAATCTTGGCTTCGAAACACTCAAGTTGTCGCAGATACAGCTTAAAAATGTCATTTCATTGATGGCCCACTTCATCTTCTCACTCTAGTCAGGATAACTTAACAGGTGTCAAAAGGAGGGGGGTGAGGAGAAGACATGCTGGCATCAGATGCTTCTAGTGACAAAGTAGTTAATTTAACATAACCCCAGCCAGAAGGTTCCTCAAACACAGATGATGATGACCTGCCTTCAAAGCAGAACATCGCACCGGAGTGATCACTAGTATAATCCCAGGTACTGTGCAGCCACTGAATGAACCTACCACCATCACACTATATGGAATAAACCTTGCACTGAGAATCAAATCTCTTTAAGAAATACCTATGAACTAAATTTAGAAGAGTTTAAACAGCACCAATGGAGCATGAAGTAACCAACTCTGCTGCAAATGTACAGCAGACAGGAGCTACTGACCTTTGACAATTTCCACCTACTTAGAGCTCTTCCCTGTGCCCTCTCCCCCACCAGTCTTCTGTGTCACATCTCAAGCCCCTGCTGTAAATATCAGCTTCAGAGAACCACAGGAAACCTGTTTCTAGATGAACAGAAGAACCTGGCTGGGCAACTAGCTTTCCTGCATACCTTAAGGGTACGTTTGCTTACAGGCAATCCAAATTCTACACCAAGAAAAACTCCTTATAAGTTGTGCAAACAAGCGTCTGTGAGATCTCTTTAAGCACTGCAGCTATGTCCCAAATTTAGTTTGTCTCAAGCACACCAGTCTCATATAAGGGTTTCCTGCCAGTTGTGAAGGATGCCTCTTAACACATTCCCACAGGAGACAAAATTCAGCCTAACCTTTCTTGTGGTTGAGGCTGGCAGCCAGTGCCTCAGTGACCCTGCTGACCCAAGTATCATAGGACTGTGCTCTGACTTTCACTCCATACAGCAGGGAAGGGAAGTCCTCTAATGGATACCGGTATCTGGAGAGAAATGGAGAAGACATTTCGAATATACTCACAGGCTAGATAACAGTAGAGAAGACATCTCTGTCAGACTTCCATAGCATGCCTTCATTACAGACAGGGAACCTGGCCACAGACATTTGTCCTCACTCAAAAGGTCTACCAAAGGCAATCAGATGGAAAATTCCTACCTTAGACACTTCTTCTGCATAGGACACGAACACAGATCATTCGGATGGTACAAGCAGACAAGCCGCTCAGGGTTACAAGAACAGGTAAGAGCAGACAGGAAGCACGTGGTCCGACAGGCTGCACATTGGCGCTCGTCATCGGGAACCAGCTCAAACACTTCCTCTTCAGACATCAGCACCCCCTAATACAAAAAAGCATGATATAAGGATACTGCCAGGAGAACATTTTTCTATTTTTTGTTCACCTCAAGTGAGTGAAGCACATCGAATTCTCCCAAGCTCACCATCTGTATAACAGATTCCCTCAAGCGTGCCTCTTCTTCAGTCATGAGCGTCATTTCTTTACAGACCATGGCAGCAAGCCCCACATCCAAGCACTCAGGGTCGGCGGCCATCTTGAAGATGAGCTCCTCATGAGAGAAGACGCAGTGGCGCCTCAGCCGGCGGTAATGGCTTACACACTGTCGCCCTATGGGAAGCTAGAAATGTAAAGAAACACCCCCAATTACTATTTTTTCCAGTATTTTGCCATGGCAGGCTGCCCTAAAACCTCTTCCTCTTGGTCCTCCGGTAGTGGAGCACAGAAGAGGATGAAAAAACACAGGTAAAAATAGTCTCATTAAGGAGGCAAGCAATTATTATAGGCATAAAGTGGGTCACAGTATCCAGCAGCGGTGTCTCCAGGGACCATCAGTCAAGCACTTTGGAGCTTACTAGAGTAAAAGGATGAGGAAATTGGTTGTGCAAGTACTAGATCTCAGGGGCTTCATTTCACTAAGGGGAAAAAAAATCTCATGGTCCGAAATCAGCTTCTCCCACAGAAACACCAAGAAAGCCACATAATTACCAGAGAACAAAAGAACGATAATGCAGCAACAGGGGATAAAGAAGGTCAGAAAATAAGCCTCTCTAGAGATGCTATCTCCTCTTGGCATCACGAAAGCCCAATCCCAAGAACGTGTGCCAGAGAACACAAACTACTTGAATAAAAGGGAGTCTGCTTAAGATTGATCTAACCTGTATCAGTTCTTTGGATGTGTTTTAATAGAGGAGAATGGTGTCACGTTGGTGCCAGAGTGAGAGATTTATTGTTAAACTCTACCCTGGGAGGATTTTTTGCTCCTCGTCCAAAGGACAAAAGAAAACTGGACATTAAGGAAAATTGTGAAGACTTAGAAATGTTAAGTCACACTTATTAATTGCATTATTAACAACCTTTAAGCTTTCCTATTAGAAAATAAAAGTAACACCTGACATGCACAAATCCTATTTGTTGCTTGGCTCATACACCTCACTCCTCCCACTCTTGCAGGGAAAATCCACATTGGAAACTAAATCTGGTTACCTGTAACACACAACTGCAGGGGAGAGGTGCACAGTAAAGCCCAGCAACGAGCTTGGTGCCTGAACTTCCAGACTTAAGGTCTGTTTAAAATGTTTAATGAAAAAAGCCTAAGTTCTTTCTGTCACTGTGTAATAACCTTGAGAACTACATGCTATTTGTAAGCTCAAATCATAACCTTATTTGTAAATGCCATTACATTGATGGCTTCTATCTTACTTCCTTTCTACCACTGGCAAAAATATATGCTTTGTGCATATTAGGGTGTACGGCTACATCTCCCCCTACATACTATTGTAGTTGTTTGAGTATTTTACATCATACTATATCATAAAAGAAGCTGCAGTGGCTCAAGTGGTTAAGACGCTGAACTGCAGGCTGTGGAAGGTCGGTAGTTCAGCAGTTCGAGATCCGAGTGTGCCGCATGACGGAGTGAGCTCCCGTCTCTAGTTCCAGCTCCTGCCAACCTAGCAGTTCGAAAGCAAGAAATTGCAAGTAGATAAATAGGTACCACTTCGCGGTGGAAAGGTAACAGCGTTCCGTGCGCCTTGGTGTTTAGTCATGCCGGCCACATGACCACGGAAATTTCTTCGGACAGTGCTGGCTCTTCGGCTTTGAAACGGAGATGAGCACCACAACCCTAGAGTCGGATTCGACTGGCTTTCGAGCAAGGGTACCTTTACTTTACTTTATATCACAAAAAGGACATACCATAACATTGTCTCACAGCTTAGTTACACATAATGCATCTCGTATTCTTAGAAGCAATGATTAATGTTTAGATTTGAAAAGTAAGAATTAATGAGGCTTCCATCTTTCCAAAAATGTGCCAGGTTTGCTTTCCTAAAAGCCTCACAACTTCTGGACATTTTACAAGGTCTCAAGTCACACCCAATTTTGATTTTACAAACCCTAGGTTTTAGTTTGTAAGAAATATTAAAGTTTAAAATTGGTCCCCTATAAAGTATTGTAATAGCAATCCTGTAATATTTTAGTTTCACAATTCTGGGCAGCACAGAGTACAGAACTGCACTTTTAGTTTGAAAACTGAGCTTGAAGAGGGTGGGCGCGAGGGAAGTGAGAGCAGGGCAACAGTAATCCTTGTACCCCCCCACCCCCGCAAAGGATTATTCACTGCTTTTATATTCTGCCTTTCTCCCCATCCTGGAACTCAGAGTAGGCTGCCTTTCCCATGTTAATGATAAGAGAAGAAGTGGAAGAAAACAGCAAACAGATCAGAAAACAGCTAAACTAACAAGATTCTTATGGGCTACATGTACACAGAGTTGTTCCTTGAGTTTCAAGTACACAACAAATACATCTCAGATAGGCTCTGCCTAGCTCCCCTTTACCATAACAGAAGCAAGCAACACAACCTACAGTCCTGTTTCCCTGGTAAGTTATCACCTACGCTCTGCATTATGATAGAAAGGTACAGACCCAGTCTGCAGTGCAGAAGTTCACAGCCTCAGCAAAGTTGTAGCCTTGGTTAAATCCCGAGTGATAGGCACGAGGAAAAGTTACAACAAACTCGCCAGCACACTGATTGGTCCGATATACCTAGAAGCAAGCCGGTGAGAAAGTGTGAGATTCAGAGAAGAAATCATCGCTGTCACACTGGTCTCCCCAACAGTGTACGTTAAGCAACTAATGGTTGCTAACACAAGTCTCACCCATTCATACCCTTTCCCTCAACAATTGCTTCACCCAGTGTGCTCAGCCAAGCCCTGGGCATGGGCTTCAAGGAGGTTGGTTTTAAAGTATGTAAACTATTTGTGTACAAGGCATTTAAGGCACACACTGAATTCCAGAAGGAGCATCTTTCCACTCTCTTACTGAATCATTAGTAAAATATTTGGGTACAAGACATTTAAATCGTACACTGAATTCCAGAAGGAGTAGCTCTCTTGCTGAATAATTTCACAAGACTTAAAGGCTTTCGGGACACAGTATACACTGTTTCGTCTGGACCTGAATTGGGGAAATCATGTAACTAGTACAACAAATAGAAGTGACTACTACATAGTGGATCTGCGCTATGCAACAAAATCTATGCTTGCAACAGGTCCCCCCATGCTCATTTATTCTAAAGTTTTTGCATACTGTGGCTAAACATGTTCATAAAATGGATCAAAGTGACATGCAACAAAATCTATGCTTGCAGTAGGTTCCCTAATGGCTTAAAAACATTTTTGTGGCTTCAACTAAAGCACTCTACTGCTGAAACGAGGCAATTTTTTATCATTATAGCTGAAGGAGACTCTATGTAGACATGCTAGAAAAATCAAGACAAATAAAACCATGCAGCTAGGCAGAGGAAATCTAAGGCAACACCAGTACCATTTCAAGTCACAGAATATGCCATGAGATACAAAGCTATGTACACAGAGAAAGGTTCTGCTCTACTTACAGGTACACCATGCTCCATAAGCACATTTGGGTTCATGATGGTGACTAACTGGTGCAGAAGATCAGGCTGAGTCTCAAACAGCTCAGGGGCCAACTCTCTCATCACTTCCTCCAGTTGTTCTGCTGCTTGAGAAGGTACTCCGTACCACGTCTTAGGCTCTCCCCTAGCACACCACCACATCCACAGTTAGGAGTCACCCAGCAGAAAAGACGGATCATTCTAACCTCAGAGAGGGTCCACTGAACCTTCCCAAACCCTCACCCATCTGAGGTGGCAGAATTTGTATTTATAGGTTTGATTTTGTTGTATGTATAAAGCTTCTTTTGAACAGACAAACAAAAAAGCAGGTGTTCTTAAGCGTCCAGCTCAGCCTTCAGGAATGAAAAGCTGCAGTAGCAGGAGACATTAACTACCCACTAATAATGTAATGTTATTTATTAAAACATTTACTATATCCCACCTTTCCTCATTGTTCAAGGCAGCTTACAATAATAAGAAAAATATCCCAAAGGTAACAACAAACCCCAAATCCCTCCCCACAAAGATGTCCACCATTCAAACCCCCTCAAAAGCCCTGGCAAACAGGCAGGCCTTGCAGAACCTCCTGACGTCTCCCAAGAGGAGGCCCCCCTCTCCTCTTCAAGGAGCCCCTTCTACGGAGCCAGAGCTCCAGTTTAAAAGGCCTGCACTCTGACTGATGCCAGACGGGCCACCCTCACCGGTAGGACAGCCAACAGATGGCTGCCTGATAAACACAGCTGGTCCACAGGGACACAGACAGTCCTTCAAATATATGGGTCCTAGGTCATGAAGGGATTTAAAGGTCATAACCAGCACCTGAATTGAACTCACACACAGACAGGCAGCTGATGAAGCTATTTCAAAATGGACAAGATAAATTCTATCCAGTTGCTTCTGCACCTCTTGTGAAGACTGTGTGTGTCCGGTCACACAGAAAAGAGGGAAACTACTGAAGGGCTAGGCCCTTAATACCAACTCCATGTTCAAGCCGGGGTATAAGAATGGAGTGGTCAGCTATATCAGAGCCTATTGAGGGGTCTAGCAGTATCAACAGGGAAGGTTGTCCCATCCAACTTTAAACAAAGATCATCCACCAGTGCAACTAAAGTTCTCTTGGTACCAAACCCAGGTGTGAAATCAGATTGCAATGGGTCAAGGGCAGATGTGTCATTCATGAAATGTAAATGGTAGGTTCCAACCAATAGGTGGCAGACACAGGGCCCCTATTCTGCAATAGTCTGTGTGTGTGTTCAGAAATTACTTTATACCCCTTCTCCCTGGGATCTGAAGCGTTTTCTAGACTAGGTATACTCCTGCTTTGCTCCTTACAAGAACCCTGCCATTAATAAGACACAAATTCTCTTGCCCCGAGTAAAGAACTTGCATAACTTATGTTAAAAAGATCAAAACTAGGTAGATACAAAAGAACAGCCCTATTACATCCATCCTGGGTATGGTGTACCCACATTCACAATGCACTGAAAGTACATACCAATGAAGGTAGTTGATGGAATAGCTCCAGTGATCTTCAATGTGCCAGCAGAAAGATGAGAAGCACATCCCCACATAAAGCCAGGGCACCTTCATGCCAGAAATATCCGCATTGATATGAGCAAGGACAGACTGCTCCAGTACGGGCATATTGTTGAGGTTCCAGCCAGAAAGGGCATACTCCTGCCAACAGAAGGCGGAAAGTTTGTAAAGGAAGAGGCTAGAATGAAAATAACATTTTCTAGTTGGGGGCAAGCACTGCTCCATTACACCTTCTTTTTAGCCAGGTCATAATCTGCTGCCACATCAGGACTGCAAGCCTATGTACAGGACCTTGGAACTCAGCTCCAAGGAACGGGACTTGTTTTGGGCCAAAAGCATATAGGATTACACTACGCAGCACCGGAAGTGAAAATTCAGTGCCTTAGACATTTCACCCATCAGTCAAACTCTGACCCACTGGTTGAAGCCTACCCCTTATCTAGTTATAAAGTCAGTTCCCAATACTCCATCACACAGTATGACCAAGAACAAAATACATGGAAAGGCTACACAGCTAACAGTGAAATCACAAAGTGATACCCTCAAGTGTACCACTTTTTCTCTAGACCTGAATGATAATCACTCACTCCTGTAGAGAGGGGGAGGGGAGACAGTCAAGGCAAGACCTTGCCTTCACCTCAGGCCTTGCTGACCTGATGCTTACTTATAGGGATTGGGGGGGGGGGGGGGGTGTGTCTCATACAAGTCATCCATCCCCACACTCCATCCATCGTAACAGGCATTTTCCAAGTTTTGTTATGAATGCTTACTTCTCCTAGGTTGGCTTGTTTTTACACTAGAACCTAGACACATCCCTTCCATGTCTCCCATCTTGTCTTTCATATTTAGAGAACACATTTTATAGAAGCAACTGGAGGTCAACTGTCCAGACAGATTAACAGCCCTGCGAGGATCAGCACCACACTATACAATAGGTGCTTATAGCCAAATCTCAGCTCCCCGTCTGGAAATCCTTCCCCAGCTCCCTTCTCCCAGATCCACGTTACCTCAAAACCACAGATCTGAAACATGGGAAGGGGTAAACAGTAGGTGGGGGGAGCTTGACGTAATACTGCCAGGGGAAAGATTAAGCACTCCCCCCGCATCTCCCCATTTTACAACACAAAATGTTCTCTCTCAAAATGCACTTAGCAGTGGAGACCATCAGGGCTTTGTTACAAGCACCTATAGCTGGAAATTTAGACTGCCCCCAAAGCCTTCAGTTTCCCAAGTGTTAAAGTGTATGTATGTATTTGTATGTTAAAGCTTTTGCCTTTAAAATAATCAAAACACATTCCAGCATGTTTAATATATTAGTTCTAGCTTTCTGGTATGCAAAACTACATGCAAGTCGCATATCTTTCCCACACCTCCTCTTCTGGCATTAGCTTTCTTCTGCCATCCTTTATAGGGAAGCCGCTTCCAAAGTCCTTGGATGAGATGTCCGCTCCATATTCCACAATTACATCCTCCTCGATGCTGCTCACAAGTCGCCAGAACTCCTTTTCCACCAGCTCAGTGGGAACCATCTAAAAAGGACAGAAGGAGCAACGTAAAAACAAATTCAGGCTGGAAAGTTTATGAGCTCCAAGTAAAACAATGCAAGTAATAATGACAGCCTCACAGGTGTTACTTTCCCCCACACGTGTTAAAAATCATTTGTTTTGAAATGTAGCAATTTCGTAAGAACAAATGCCATAAAAAGTGAAAATACAGTAATGCACTGGTGAATTTTCTTTCAAAATGCCAAGGAAACGCACAGCCCATGTCTCTGATGCAAAGAGAGAGAAAAAATACCAAATATCTGGAGGAAGTATACAAGCCGCAGCCAATCTATTCTTGCAGCAGAATCATATGGTGCTATTATTTCCCAGCAGTATTCCTAAGACCATTTAAACTTCAGGGGGGAGAATATTGTTTGAATGGATTTACTGTTCTTGATGGTGAAGAGCAGGCAACTAAGATAATACCATTTTAACTGATGCCTTTTCACGCCAGACATATGAATTTTCATAATAGGTGAGAAGAAATCAGTTCCTAGATAGCCTTCATGTTGCAAGTGGGAGAATCTCACCACTACCACTGCCTTCACTTTAACTCCTGAGGGCCAGGAGGAAGCAGGGTAGACAGGCAGGAGCTGGGAGACCAACACGCCGTTTAGGAACTGCTTGCTATGCTAGCCAAACTCAAAATTACAGTATTAAGTTCTGACTGCATGGGCAAGGTTTAAGGAAAGCAAGCCTTCTGCATAAGATAAAATCTTAATCACTTAGCTACATTGTACCTAGCTACCCGAACTTCACCCAAAAAATAAGAGGGTTAAAGAAAAATGGGGGTGGAACAAAACATAGTTAAAGGACAGAACCAGTGATGTGGGTCTCTCAGGGGAACACATAATTTGAACATTTTCTGGAAATTTTTCTGAAACTTTAATAATGTTAGCAAATAAGGCTCTGGCGTTTGTCCATTCTTTATACCCCATATTCAGCCCATCTAACATGACTGATTTGTAGCACAACAGCCCTGACAACTACAGAGAAAGAGACTATATCTGTATATGTGGGGCAGAATGTTTTACATAGGAAAATGCAGCATTGGAAATTTTTCTGGTGAATTGTCGGCTCTACATCACTGGACAGAACACATGCTTTGCCCGTAGAAGGTCTGAAGCTCAATATGTGTAATTGATATTTAAATAATCTTGAGCAGTGGAGATAGGAAAGCCCTCTACAGAAGACCCTTGGAGAACCAGTCAGAGTAGACAATTCTGGACTAGACAAATGGTCAGACACTGTATGTTTAGAAAGTCTCACTGAGCACCTTGTAGAACTGTGACGGTTGTTAACCAACCAATTATCCAACAGCCTGGCTATAGAATTTGATGATAATGACACCTAGTTTACAAAATTAAAATTAAGAGCTAACTCCTAATGCTTGTCAGAAGTCCACTGACGACAAGAGTGTTTGGCACCTAGACTGCTTCTGCTGTTTAGGAATATGTTGACTTGATATACTAGTGAACGAAATAACAGGACTCCATTTACTATCATTACCCCAGCAAGTCCTCCTGGGTCATTCTTTTTTACTCTTAAAGTCTTCTTCCCCACACTGTTGCACAATTGCTAGCTTTTCACTCCCCGTCTTTACCAAACATCCAAATATAAAATTGTAAATTCTGCAGCTACACACCTAAAAGCAAGCCCATATAGCTATACGGATGATCGTTAGGCACACAAATCCGCACCACTTGCAGAATTTTAACCACTAGACACCTTGACTACCCCCCATCTTTAAGTAAAGGCAAAAAGCCCCAGAACAAAAAGCCCTTTTCATAATGAGAGCCAGCAAGGCAGATAAAGGAATGGATGATGTACTAGGATGAGTGATATTGTTGCAGAGATATGATTTTAGGTATTTAACATTGTTCTGCTCCTGCACGGCTTGTGGTCCATAATAAAGACTGACTGACAGACCAGTGTGTACTTACATGGACTGGCATGTTGAAGTAATCAGATTTGAAATTATCTGCCATCTCACCAAAGCTCTGGAGGGTATACTCTCGAACAGCCTGCTCAAATCCAAAGGCCTCACGTGGTTTGCTACATTCCTAGAGTGAGAAAATCACTATCATTCACCATGATGGATCAAGACAAGCACTTTGATCCCATTCTGCAGTATACTCTGATAAGAGCTGCTTTACCTGACCAATAACAAGACACACAGCATTACATTTTAAACATTTTCTCCAAAAGAAGCTACCGTAGCCATTCCAACTGAGGAATGTGGGAAAGGAGAAGGACAGCAAAGTGTTCTGTGAGCATCTGATGAGACAACATGGCATCAAGACTCACATCTTAAGCAGGGCTAT